TGGCACAACAACTGAGTGTGGGCGAGGCCCGTATCTCACAGTAGTCGAGTGTGGGCGGGGCCCGTACCTCGAAGTAGCTGAGTGTGGGCGGGGCCCGTATCTCAGAGATAGCGGAGTGTGGGCGGGGCCCGTATCTCCTAGATAGCGGAGTGTAGGCGGGGCCCGTATCTCCATGAGTGTGGGCGGGGTCCGTATCTCCTAGTTGCATGTTATATGTGGATGGTATGTGGTAGATTGGGGAGACTCACTAAGCTTCGTGCTTACGGTTTTCAGTTTTGGTTTCAGGTACTCAGTTTTCAAAAGAGGAGCTCGGGAAGATTGCAGTGCACACACCATTTGTTTAACCTGGGATGTTTATACTCTGATATATTTGACATGTGTCCTATCACTTTATATGATGAAGATATTTATGGTTTTAAAAACGAAATCTTTGGACTGTATTTTTGGGATGTTACATGAGTATATGAGATGTATTGAATTAAGTTTTGAGCTTCACTCAAGAATTTTGGGTTCAAATGGTTGATTTTGATTGAGCATAGCACTTGACATTAGCTTAGATTACAAGTTATACAAGAGTTGATTTCATGAATACAGAATTTCCTACCCAAAAATCCTAGTTGTGACACATTCCGTTTGAAATAGAGTAATTAAATAATAAACCCGGAACCCCAAGATGTAAATTTATATTTTATAGTGGCCTAAAAATCCATAATATTTAGCGGGGTGTTGGTTTTGGGGAGCCAAATGATATAATTTGGATTTTCGGGGGTTAAAGTATATCTTTGGGATTTATTTTTGTAAATATTTTCAGGAGTCAGGGGGTGGTTGGTAATTATCGGACTTAGATTGAAAGGATTTTGGAATGTTGAGGGTTAAATGGTAACTTATGGGACTTGAATTGTTATGAATATTGGATTCTGGGGGCTGTTTTGTAAATTGTAGGCTTAATTTGAAAAAGATCCTATGGGGAGGGACCTTCTTTCTCAACATTCTTTCTCCATCGTCCAGCCGCCACCGCCCGACCCCCTTGTTGTTCCGATCAACCAAGACCACGACGGACCACTGTTGCCGACGAGGATAGACTGCCGAGGAACCCGCAATGGTGCCGCCACTGTTGCGGTGATGTTTTACCGACCGTTCGCTGCCTCACCGCCGTTGCTGTCGTTCACAATCACCGTATCTTCTCTGTTCCTCGGTTGCTACGCCCCTGCCCGTGTTTCGTCGCCATCATAGCTCCAAGTGGCCACTTGTTGTTGTGCTGCGGTTGCGTCTGTCACCCCGAAGTGGAGGAGATGGGTGCATGTTTTCTGATACATCTCGTGTTCGTGACGGTGTTGCCGTTTGCAAGCTGTATGTGCGTGTGTTTGTTGGCCGACAACCGAAAAGAACCACCATGGCCGCCAGCTATGGTGGCTGCCATTTCTGTCACTTCTTTTACCGCCACCAGCCACCGTGGGGGTGGCTGTATGCGTGTTTTGGTGCGTGTATGAGTGTTTTGATGAGTGTGATATTGTATGTAATCGTTTGGCCGAAAAATCCGAAGAAAACCCCACCACCACCACCGTGAGGTGGTGGTTGCCGCCTTCTGCCGCCACCAGCCGCCGTGTTGGGTGGCGGTGTGCATTTATGTGTGATTGGGTTGTTAATTGATTTGCTTGGACATGTTTCGGACTAGAATCGTAACCACAGCCACCACGAGGTGGTGCCCGCCGCCATGAGCCGTCGTTGACCACCACTACCCGAGGTGGTAGTGGGTGGTACCCGACTTATTTAACCCTAAATGGCCTAATGAAGCCCTAATTGACCTAAAAACCTAACCATTTGACTAATTGGCACCGATTGGGTTGGAAACCCTAATTAGGGTTTATAAAACCCTAATTTTGGATTTGTTAGTTTGGAATTATTGGGAACCGCGTTTGGACCATTGGAATTGGAATTTTGAATTACGCCCGACCACATTGTATGTTTGGTCTAGTGGAGTGATGGACTTAATGGATTAAGTCCTTAATGGGTTAAGTAGGAACACTTCAGCCTAATCGTCATTTTATGTGAAAAACCCTAATTAGGTTTGGGTTCTTGATTGGGCCATTTCTTGGACCGAGTTGCTGTGGGCCTTCATGGGCCAATGGGGAACATGTTTATGGACTATGCAAATTATTGGGCTTTAGGATAAGGCCCATTGGGAAGGCTTGGGCCCAATTTTGAAAATTGGCCCATAAGTGGGCCAAAATTGGGCCTTGATGATTATGAGATATTGGACCATCGGAATGCCAAATGTTTGGACTAGAATAAATGATTGGGCCTTAATATAAGACCATGTAGAGGTTTGGGCCCAATTTGGAAAATTGGGCCATATATTGGGCCTTGGTTCATTGATTGGTTTTTGGGCCTTCAGAGTGTGTGTTTGGGCCTTGGGCTTGGATCAAGCTAGCTTGGGAGTAAAGTAGTTTTTTTACCCCAAGCATGGACTTATGGTTATGTATTGGAACCCAATTATTAATTGGGTGTTGTTTTGATGTTGACAGTTCATGAATCTGTCAACCAGCAACTAGAGTTTTATCCGCGGGACTCGGCAGTGTGAGGTGAGTCTCCTCACCATACCAATGGGTCGAAGGCACCAAGGCCGACCCATTTATCTAGTTGTGATGATTATTGCGGATATGTTATCGATACATTATGTATTTATGTGAAGACCATGCGGGGGTCCCATGACAATTAGTTATATATAGTATGCCAGTTGTCTTCGTGACTCTTGCATGTAGTGGATATTTGCGAATGTGCTGTCAATATGTTATGTATTTATACGAAGACCATGTGGGGGTTCCCATGGCCTATTTTATGATATGTGGGTTGTTGTTGATTATGTGATATATGATATGCTAGCAATTTTCTGTGATACTTGCGTGGAAGACCCCGGGGGGGTTCCCGAGGCAGTTGGATGTCAGACCATTGGGGGGTTCCTATGGCATTCCAGGCTAAGACTATATGGGGGTTCCCATGGAAGTGGGCTAAGACCATGAGGGGGTTCCTATGGCACCTGGTACCTTTATATGTTGTATGCATGGTTTCTATGGTTTGTATGACATTTCTGTTGATTAGTTGAGACCATGCGGGGGTTCCCATGGTAGTTAGGGAAGACCATGTGGGTGTTCCCATGGCCAGGTAGCTAAGACCATGTGGGGGTTCCCATGACAGTAGGTTAAGACCACGTGGGGGTTCCAGTGGCACCCGGTTTAAGACATTGGAAGGTTTCCAGGGCATCCTTATATGTTTGCATGTTTAGCTTATATGTTTGAATGTATGGTTTGATTGGTAGCTGGTGAAGACCATGCGGGGGTTCCCATGGCCGTGGGCTAAGACCATGAGGGGGTTCCTATGGCACCCGGAGTAAGACCTTGGAGGGTTTCCATGGCTTCCCTATATGTTTATGTGCATGGCTTGTGTAGTTGATATGATTTATGTGATTATGTGTATAAGACCTGGGAGGGTTTCCATGACATCCTTATATGTGTATATGCAAGGTTTATGCAATTGATATGGATTATGTGGATCGTGCACACACCCGTGTTTTCCGTAATATTTGATTTTGGGATGAACTCTGATAAATGTTTTTAATTAGCAATGTTTTTGGAAAGCTTGGATTTAAAAGATATATGTGTTTTGACTGTAATGAAAAATGAAATTTTTACCCTTGATTTTTGGGTCGTTACATTGAGGAATCCTCCAAAATTGAATTCGTTCATTTGGCAACCAAACACCTAACGAAATCGAATCCAAGATTCCAATTCCTTCGGATTCAATAACCAAACATGTAGATGGTAGATTGGTCTCAATAACTGTCAAAATTAAAAATTAGAACGCAAGTAAAAGTATCACGGAAGCTTCCATGAGACAAAGTATACTTATAATAATGTGAAGGTAGGGGAAAGTGTAGACACAATTGTGATCACCAGGGCAAAATTTGAATCCCTGATCTACTAAATGTGAAAATCACTATTCATATTCACATAATAATTCCATAATTTTATAATCATCTATGTTACTTGGATAGTTTATCTAGAGTTATTCTAACAAAATATAATTAAATAATTCTATCAATGAACTAGCTAACAGTTATGACACGTGATTACCAACTTGAAGCTTTGGAACCATTTTTTGTTGCAAGTTCCAAGTATACCAATCTCAAGAATTTAAATCTATGATACAATTTGATCACATAAGCTTTCCCATCCTTTCATCTAAAATAATACAACTACATCTAGTGCCACTGGTAGAAAAAAATAATAAATTTGAGACTCTTGCACAAGAAGGAATTAACCCAACAACGTCCACTATTTCTATATGTTTCTATAGTTCTTTTTAGAAGATTAAGTGTAAAAGCCTCAAAATCTTGAATAATAAAACACACATTGCATATCATCATGATTCATGAGACCACTACATAATTAAGAAAAAAAACATACCTTCAAACGATGGGAATCGGAAATCGTGATGAGAAATTGTCAACAGATGGAGAAGTAATTGACACTAAATCGAGAATCAAGATCCAAGAATGATAATAGTGTGCGATGGGAGAGGATGATTAACCCAACAAGGGTAAAAGTATAAATCTCTACCCTTCTAGATCACTGGAAGCTTGGCTATTAACATTGACACTTCTGTGAACAAAACTTCACTGAGACATTTAAACAAACACCTGGTGTACATTACCGACAACATTATATCTGAAAAGAATAATACATATAAATTACCATAGAATTAACTTGGTATCGTTCACAAACCATAATCTAATGAAATTAGTATAAATCTATTTTAATTTTACCTAAGCAACACCAAGAACAAATTGAAGAAGATGAAATCGAAAAAGCCGTATCTTGTCACCTGATTAACCAGAAAAAATAAGAAATAAGGGATGATATAAACACATACCTCGATTCTAAATAGGATTCGAAAATCAAGGCATATACGAAATCAATAAAAATCAGTGCATACACGCATTCATGGAAGCATTCGGTCTGATCAGTAAAACTCTAATGGAAGAACTGAAACGAATCAAGAACCGCAACCTGCTGTAAATCGATGGTGAATCAACAAAAATCAAGAATCGATGGAACCTTAGTGTTTTTAGGAAGGATTCCGTAGTTCTCATGTTTTAAGAATGAAGTATTCGTGTATCAATTTCAAACGAAGTCAATAGCCAAACGACACAGTTTTAAGTATCGGGTATCTAATCTAATATATCCTTAAGGGTATATTTACTTTGATATATATATATATATATATATATATATATAATATATATATATATATATATATATATATATATATATAAATTTTAGCTATTTTCCAAGATGCTATTAAAAATTTAAATTATATATTATCTTTTTTTCCTCTAATAAAAGTCGCATTTTCATTTTTAAAACTTAAAACAGGCGTGACAGGGCTGGGTTGTTCGAGTAACAAAGTAACAAACTCATAGATAGGCCATACCATAGCACAACCCTACCCAATCCCCGTCGTTTGCGATAAACCAGCGACACCACTCCCCACTACCCTTCACCATCTCCATCACCTCCCTGCCGGCCACCCCTTCCGCTGTCTCCTTCCTCTCTCGTACTAATCGATAAAACTCTTTTTGCTTAGACAAAACAAAATCAAAGCGCAACCTAACCAAACCTCTCTGCCCCCTATTTGTTCATCGATTTTATCCCCTCCCAAAGTTCTGTCAAGGTTCATTTCCGGCAAACGTTCATTCAAGGTATTTTGTTCTTTATGTAAACACGAGTATTCTTAGTTTGGATTATGATAGCTTCTGTTTTGTTGAGGTTTTGTGATATAAGGAATTCTAGATTTGTTTTCCCTGGATTATTAGCATTTGTCATAGTCTCTTTGCATTGGTCGGATTCATCGAATCTATCATCGTTGTCTTTCTAATCACTTTCTGTTAAGGAATCATCGATACACCGGTTAATTGGTTATTTCAAACGTTTTCTTAGATATCTCTTCTGTTGAGTTTATCGTTCTTGAACAATTAAATAGTTTCTCTCTCGTTGTTTGATTTTGATTTGAGTAAAGTGTTCTGTTTCTTGTTTTGGTTTTGTTTGTGCGATCGAGTCTCAGTATTGTGCTGATTGTGTTCCTTGCAATAATTTTAGGGTTTACTCTTGATAAACCCTAACATCTTCATCGTGGATACTGGCTTTCTTTGGGCGATTCTGGACCTTTCTTCCAATATCTGCAGCGCTTATCTTCTATTGAAGAAATTATGTAAGTTGTTCTATCCTTTCTACTTGTTCCTTTTTCTTGTACTCACTGCTTCTTGCTTTGATGAACATACTGTTTGCTGGTTTTGTTTCTGTGCATCTTGTTGCCTTTACTTTCATATTTACATGTGTGCTCTATTCCTCATTTCCTCCTAGTGCTGTGTAGATCTTGACCTGTTATCTGAATTGGTGTGGAATCCTAGTTAAAACAGTGTTTATGGTGGTTGATTGTTGTGCTTGTTTGGCTGTCTTGTCTGTTATTGAAGATTCATCTTTCGTTAATCAGGGCACCATTATTGTTGGGGCTGTTGAGATCAATGTTCGTGTCTCAATAATTGTGTTTAAATTGGTTTTAACTTTTAAGTATGGTCTGTTTCAAACAATCCATATATTCAAAGAGATTTATCATTCCTAGGGTGGGTGATAAGATTTGAATTCCACTCTTTATTTTTTCATTAAAAGACCAAATTGTCCTCAAATGATAAACCTAATGGACACAAACATGTTCATCCTTTAGTATAATTTACTTTTCATTTTCTTTTTATCGATTCACAAATCAAACAGAAAACAAAAAAGAAATGTGATTGATTTTCCATTCCATATTTCCAATTCTAGCGAACTAAACACGTGAAAGATTGGATTCCAATTCCTTTGACAGATTCCATTCCTCAAAAAGAAAAGCATCATATGAACCAACCAAACTTTACAACTTTTGTGTTTTTGAGTTGTAAAACTTTACTTGTTTGATACAGATTTTCCACAAAGATGCCCTCACGAATTGCACAAATCCGACTCACGAGTTCACACCCTCAAGTCTACGAGCCATGCGATGACTCATTCGCTTTGGTGGACGCGCTGTTAGCCGACCGGAAACACCTCTTAAACCACCGCCCCTCAATCTGCATCGAAATCGGAAGCGGAAGTGGCTATGTCATCACTAGTCTCGCTCTCATCCTCCAAGACCTCAAAACCACTCATTACTTTGCCACAGACATCAACCCAAACGCCCTAAAAGTAACCCACGAGACCCTCCAAGCCCACGGGGTCCACGCCGAGTTGCTAACCACCAACATTGCCGCCGGGCTCGACCGGAGGCTCGCGGGGATGGTGGATGTGATGGTGGTGAACCCGCCGTACGTGCCGACACCCGAGGCGGAAGTGGGCGGTGATGGGATTGCTGCCGCCTGGGCTGGCGGTGAAAATGGGCGGAGTGTTATCGATAAGATTTTGCCGATTGCTGATAAGCTTTTGTCGGAAAAAGGGTGGTTGTATATGTTGTTTCTTGCTGCTAATGATCCGTTGCAAATATGTTTGGGAATGAGGGAGAAAGGTTTTGCTTCAAAGATTGTGGTTCAGAGATCGACTGAAGAAGAAAGTTTACATGTGATTAAGTTTTGGAGGGAATTTGATGGAAATGAAGGGGGTTCGTTGGGTAAAATGGGGTCTCCTAGGGGGTGGGAGTTTTTGGTTTCTCAGTTTTCAAGGTTGTCGTTTCGGAAATAAGGGTGATAGTTGTTTTTGTTGATTGTTAAGGGGTAAAAAGTGAAAGAACTTGTAAGTGGGTGGTGTATATTTTTTTCATCTCTCTTTACTTTGAGGCAATGATATAGTGCTAATATGGTTTTGCTTTTTGCTTTTTGAGGTCATAATCTTTTTATTTCCCTTGGGAAGCATGTTTGCTTACAAAAGTAAGTTTTTATTGAATCTTTAGGAACTAGCTTTTTAGTGGTAGTAATCGAGATTGGAGGAATCGTGAATGGAATAGAGCCTTACAACGGAATTAATTTTTAATTTGTAGTCTTTGATGTGCAATATTTTTGTCTGTTTGTCACGTAGGAATGAAATGAAATGAAACATTTTTTCGCATAGGCCGATTTTTTTATTTCATTGATGAGGCTTCTTTACCGTGACGATGGCATGAAATGGTGTATTGCAGTTATAAATTATTTTTTGTATATAATCTTCAATAATAGTAATATTTTCAAAAAATAAACATCAAAACTTTAATCTCTAACCATAAATATTTGAGAAATTAAATAGTGATAAGTAGATTGAATTATTATTAATTTCATTAAATGTGTCATCAAAAGTGACATGTCAATATTTGATATGGTAGAAAGTTGAGTATGAATAAAATGTAAGACAATATGATTTTACAATCTTATCCATTTACGTTCAAGATAAAATCTTTTTTTTTTTTTTAAATCATCCTTTAATCTCTAACCATTATATTTATTTTGCTCTTAAATTTCGCCAAATGACCCCGTATTAAGTTTTGAATGCAACTAAAAGATGAAAACCTAAATTATATAGAAAGCTAATACCAAGAATTGATAATTGATAATTTTTAATAAAATAATCCTACAATCTGAACGCCCCAATGCCCCTAGCATTTTTATGCCATCTCTTGCCTTAGGGAGGACGGAGTCCGAATGCAATTTGGAAAGGAGATAAGGCGGTAGCGGGGGTACCGTCGGGAAACAGTACCCACTTAAGTGGGTTTAGTGGTTTCTTTGGTTTAAGGTTTTCAGTTGGGTTGGTGAACACATCTGCACGTATTGCATTAATGTATTGTTCTGCAACTTTTCAGATAATTACTTCAATGTATGGACCGCAACTTTATTTTGAATTGTTTTGAATGCATGTAACTATATTCCTTTCTTTATTTTTTGTTTTATAAGTTTTTAAACATAAATACATAATTCAATCATTTGTAATGTTTTTACTCTGGAAATTTTTTTATTTCGTTCAATTTCTTCGGTTACATTCAATGGATTCCCGAAACAAAGCTAAACAAGTTGGTTTAGCCAAAGACGCAAAGCCACACAAGGCGGTTCATGTCAAGATATTCCATTTTTTTTCTCAAGATTTTCAAAATCCAAACTATCAGCAATATCAAAACCACAAAAACTACCTACAACGATATATCTCAGTGCAAATCTTACAACACATTTAAGCTTCTAGAGGAAAATTAGAGTTATAATCCATGGAATCAGTTTTCTCAAAGGGTTCCAGAAATCCAATTCCAATCTTCTTAACCCGATAATCTCCAGTTCCGTGATGCTCAAAACTTAGAATCTGGTAGTTCTAGTGACGACCCGGCTCCCGAAAGAAAAGAAGAAACCAACGAGGAGTTGAAACACGTTGCTGAGAAAAAATGCAACTATACACACTACCAAAAACAAAAAAAAAATGGGTGAAACACAAAGAGTTGGCTTTGGCTAGGCATATGTTGATGTTTCTAAAGATAAAGAACTCGAAAATCAACAAAGGTTCGATGCATTTTGGGAGAGGGTTCTAGAGCATTTTAATGTTCAAATGAGAGGTTCAGATTGGTCACGGAACCAAATAAACTCAAAATGGAAAGACCTCCAAAAGAAATGTAACACTTTCAACTCCATCTATAACCATAGGATGAACAGTGTGGCTAGCAGGATATTTGAGGTTGATGTTTTACAAGCTTCACTAAGCGAGTATCAAAGGACTATTAATAAGAAAGCTTTTCCTTGTCAACAAGCTTGGGAGTGGTTGAAAGACAACGTGAAATGGGCATCGATTACAAAAGTTGGTGAAGACTCCTTGTCTCCTTCTTCAAAACAAACCAAAAACATCTTCATCCAATACCTACACAACATCTTCCGATACACAAGTGTCCTCCTGGATTCTCCTAACAACAAGAACAATCGTCTAGTTTTGAAGACTCACCTCCTTAGAGAAAAAGAAAAGGAAAGAAAGTGGCATCGGCATTGGCAACACAAAATGAAATGTTCGATCTCATCAAACAAATTGTTGGCATCAACACTGCAACCAACACATAGGCGGAACAAAGATAATGGTATCCGGAAGAAAAATTACTTATTTACCAAGCTAATGAAGAACGGAAAGCTCAACTGTTGGACCGAGAGATTGAAAACCAAGATATAGAGTATTTTCTTTGACCGCATGATCATTTGACTAGTGATATTTTGTGCACGGTGCTTGAAAGGAAACGACAAATTGCAACTAAGTATGGTTGGGAGTTGGAGAACCCGTGAAGTTTAGAATGCCGACATCATTTGGCTGGAGAATCTTTTTCCTTATTATTATGTTTTTTTTTTCTTTTTCCTTTTTTCTTTTTTCTTTTTATTAAGATTCTCTATATGTACATTAGTTTCATTATCTATATATATATATATATATATATATATATATATATATATATATATTATATATTATGTATGTATGTATGTATGTATGTATGTATGATTGTTTCATTATCTATATATGTGTATGTTTTTTCATATTCTCTCTATATTTTCTCTATATTCAAAAGGAATCCAAACTTTTAAAAAATAGTAATGGAAGGTAACGATGATATTTCATCATCTGAAGATGAACTTATTAACAATAATTTGTTACTTGTATTGTCTCGTACTTTACAACTTCTTCTTCAGAATAATGCTAGTTCAAGCGATATTCAAAGGAGAAACACAATCCAACGTTTAGAGGCTGAACGACTGCTGATCCGACATTATTTTGCGGATGATTCAACCTATAGCCACATACAATTCCGTAGAAGGTCCCGTATGAGCAAATGTCTGTTTATGTGACTTGTTGGTGACCTGGAGACGAATTAACCTTATAACTCATACTCGTTTAGAGGCTGAACGACTGCTGATCCGACATTATTTTGCGGATGATTCAACCTATAGCCACATACAATTCCGTAGAAGGTCCCGTATGAGCAAATGTTTGTTTATGTGACTTGTTGGTGACCTGGAGACGAATTATCCTTATTTGAAAACAACATGTGAATCAACAAATCAAAGAAGTTCTTGTGCGCTACAAAAATGCACATCAATAATATGTCAATTAGTGAAGGGTTATAACTCATACTCGTTAGAAGAGTATCTGAATATGTTAGAAAGAACTTCTCGTACAACTCTTCAAAACTTTTTCTATAGTGTTGTCTAAACGTATAATGTGACAACCCGAAATTTTTTATCTTGTAAGTCCAGCCAATCAACCAAAAGTCATACTAAATTCCATTGCCTTCTAGCCTTGTTAAGGGTCATTCTAATGATCTCTAAGCCTAGTACACTCAAGGGTTGAGTGTTAGGGAGTATAAACTCGAGACCAGAAGGCTGCACCCGAACCAGAGAACCAAACATTTGAGGTTCACAGCCGCAAACCTAGTTCACGGCCGTGAACTCTCTTGTGGCCGTGATCTATCCCCATTATGTATAGATTTCCCTCATTCTTCTCATTCTTCACAATCCCAACTCAAGAACTTCCATTCTCTCTCAAGTATCATCAATAATTTCTTCCATTTCTCGTCCAAGTTGTAAGTGATTCTTCCATTGTTCCTTGATAACCTTCTTGATCTAGTACAATCCTATGATTTCATCCATGAATTCCCCACTTTTGTCTAGATCTTCAAGATCATCATCTTTCACCAAGAACACCAAGAACACACACTTGTTCTTGGTGGCCGTGAACTCCCAAGGGATCCCAAATCGACTCGTTTGTGTCTCGGGAATTCATTCGTGGAACTTCTCATCCTTACGCGAACCTTCAATTGAATCACCCATATAAGGTGAGTTCATACCTCTATAATCAATCTTTTAAATGTTTTATATGCTTTTAAGGGGGAGGGGGGGGGGGGAATACAAGTTGAACACAATGATAATTGTGTAAATGTTATTTGTGATAATCATCACATTAAAAGATTTCTTTGCTCTTATAAGTGATCAAATCATTTCAAAAACTCTTCTAAAGTTCTGTCACTTTGTTGTATATAAAACTCTGTTTTTAAAATACAATCATAACTCAGTAGATAAATGAGTCTTTTCTTCAAGTCAGTAACAATTCAAGTAAACATACTAGTAAACTATAATAGGTATAGTTTAGGGGTTCAGTTCATACTACAACTAGTACAGGGAGGAACATACTACAACTAGTATAGGGAGGAACATACTATACATATACAAGAATACTATAACATTAATGTGAGCCACTATTTCACGGCTTAGCAATATACTTGCTAGGTCGCGTTTTGTAACCAGAGTCTCTTGGAGGGAGAGCATGAGTTTGTGTATGGATCTACACGGGATTGCCACCCCACGCCTTGCTGCTAGCTACAGTGGGACTTGCAAGTCTACGGGTGAAAAATATCACATCAGTTTCGGCGCCATTAGGTCGTCGTGTTAAAACACGTGTCATATCAGTATGGTTATAACCACATCACATTTTAAACTTAATTAACAAACTGGTTTTAAGGTAGTAAGTGCTTCAGTAATTACTTATTCAATATTACTGAATGCTTTCATTTTCCCATTACATTCATATTGTGATCTTCTCACATAAAAGGTAATGCAAACTATTTTCTAGTAAAGATAGTCTTAAACTTGGGAAAACTTACATCATTAAAAAAGACAAACAGTACGTCGGGGTCTGGTACATTCAGTAAAAAGGAGGCCTATAATGCTAACTTTAAGGATTCCTCGGTAGATACATCAGGGATA